TAAATTTTTATATTTAATATCACTTAACTTAATTTCTTTTTCTTTTTTTTTTTTTGTTTAATGGACGATAGAAAATTGTAAACAAAAAAAAAAAAAACAACTGCTGATGAAGCAATTTTAGAATTCATCCGTGATGTTCGACCGGAATTTGTTGTAAAATTCATTTGTCCATAAAAAAGTGGCGTAAAAATATCTGTTGTTGCTACATATCCCTCAAAAAGTTATGCTTTTTTTTAAGTTTTAATTTAAATAAAAAGAATTTCTTTCTTTTACAAATACGATTAAGTAAATTTAATACTAAATTATTCATTTTTCAAATTAATTGACTTCCAGTACTCTTTTTTTCTTCAATCATAATGATTTTCTAGTGATAATTTTAGAAATGTTATCAGTAATTATAATTGAAACGAAGAAAAAAACATTACAATAGTAATAATACAAAATGTCAAATATGAAGCTAATAATAGAATTTTCACAATTTCAAATTTAAATTTCAAAGTTTTTGAAGCAAAAAAAAAAGAAAAAAGAAAACCTTATCATTAACAATTTGTTCCATTGATTTGATAAGATCTCCATTTAATGTGTATAATTTTTTGGCACTATTTGTTAAGCCAATTTTCTCGCTTATAAAATCCAAAAATGTTTGCATATTTTTAAATTGATCCATGTTGATGATAAGCTGATAGAGATATCATTAACATAGTACTGATTATTCCATTCAACTTTATGTTTTTCCAGAAAACAAAAATGACTTTTTGAATATTTTTTTTTTTAAAAAAAAGGTTATCAAATCTTTTGTTTACAATTATCATTTCAAATGTTTAATTCATATTTTTCTCAAAATATTTTCAGAAAAAAAAGTATTCAATAAAATTTATTTAAACGGAATAATGCATGTTTTAAAAATTATCAATCATTTGCAGATTTAATTTAAACAAAATAAGATCAATCTTACTTCAACTCCTTCAAAAGATTCGTCACCATTTTTATAAATTTTAATTCGTTTTTTATCAACTCCTGTCATCATGAACTTTTGATAAGGTTTTTCAACTTGTTCCTGAAATGAGAGGGGGAAAAAAAAAGAAGTGACATAGACTTATTCAAAATATAACAGGTGAAAAATTAAAAAAGAAAAGAAAAATGATAGTTAAGCATATAAGTGTAAAAACATAATATACACATATTTTTTGAATTTAAATAAAATTTATTTAAATTATTTGCATTAATTTTATTGAATTCATTAAAAACATTTTAAGAGATGTTGAATTAATTAATTAATAGAAACAAAAAATGAATATATGACATTAGCATTTAGCATCAAATAAATGTAAATTAAGTAATAAAACAATTTATTTCCAATATTTATAAATATTTTTATCCCATAAATATTTCCATTTCTATTTCATTCTGTTTCATATTAAACAAAATAAACAAATAAATAATAATATAAATAATAACGATAAATGAAAATAACAAACATTTGATGATTGTGATAAATTCTTGCAAACTTTGCTAATAATATCAGATTGAAATTTCTTGGAATTTTTCTTTGCTACCGTATTCATTTTATCAAATAGCTAAATGAATTTGTTATCAACAAAAATTTTATCAATATCTGAAAAATAAAATTAGCCTTTTATTATTTGATAATCAATGAAAAGGCTTACAACTACAATTAACATATTATGATAAATGATAATGATAAGCATATGAAACAAAATTAAATTCATTCATTTTAAATGTATATACTTATGCATAAATTATTTCTTCATCTTAGAAATGCAGCAAATATGTTAGCTAGTTAATTAGCTTAGTTTATTAGTTAATTAGTTAATGAAGTGAAACGAAATTTATTAGGAATAAATGCGAAATAAATAAGATTTGCTGAATGTATTGCTATTTTTTTTTTTCTTTTTTTTTTTATAAATTATGAATATTTGAAGCACGCAAATATTCCTTTTTTTTTCTTCTATTTCTTTTTCTTTTTTCTTTTTTTGCGAATTTTTTTTCGTCATTTATTATATTTCGAAAGTTTATTTTAAAATAAATATGAAAAATTTAAAAAACAAAAAATTCAAATAACACTCAACCCTTTGCAGGTTTTTTTTTTTTTTTAGAGAGAAGTCAGATTTTGTTTAGAATTAAGTTTTTTTTTCCTTTTTGCTAATTAAATAATTGTGCTACAAGCATTTATTATGCTTTAAAAATGAATATATTAGCATATGAAAATGGAAAAATAAGCAATTGATAACAAATTGAATCGTCTATGTGATTTTTTTTCTTTTTTTGATAATTTAATTTTTCGTTTCTAATTTTTTTCAAAAGTTGAAAGTTGTTTTATTTTTCAAAGTTTCGTTTAATTAGCAATGAATGATAAAGTAGGATGGGAAAGTTTGTAAGGAAAAGAATTTATTTTAATTCATTTATTTTGCTTTTAGATCATACTTTTTTTTAAAATTTTCCTTTCTTTTTTTTTTTATAATTGAAATTTTATGGTTTGTTAAATATGTTTAAAGGAAGTATGCAACTAGAAAAACAGTTTTTTTTTTTTTAAAAAAAATTTTATAAAATAACACTTCGAATTGATCAGTCGATCAAATTAGTGAAATGCCTGAAAATTTTCTTTGAGAGAAAAGAAAAGCAAAAAAAAAATTGTCATGTAAGAAAAATTTAGGAATTATGGCATGACACTTTGTAAAATTTCGAATTCCTCAATAGCACTCTCTTTTTTTTTGCAAAAATGAATTGTGGAAATTCTTGTGTAAATTTGAATCTAAAAAGTTTGAATTTTTAATAAAAGTTAATAGTTGGATTAAAAAGATCGATGGCAGGTTCTTTTTTTACTTTTGTAAATATTAATTTCAAAAATAACTCTTAATCATTGCTATTTATATTTTTGATTGATGAAATTTAAAAAACTTAATTTTGGAAAAAAAAAAGGATGAATAATATTAATAACGATACTATGTGCATATTTATATACGCTTATATCACAATTTCAGTTCCTTTCTTTTTTCTTCTTATTAATAAACTTTTCCTTAACTTCTAATCCATTCATTAACCGGAAAAATTTAATAGCGAATAAATCTCTGTAAGGTAGAAAAAAAAAAGAGGGAAACCTTTATGAATCGATATTTACACCTTTTCGTGTAATAAACATTAGGAAAATTTCGATAACAATGAAACTTTTTAAATGAAATAAAATATAATAGCATACATAAACACACACACACACACACACACACACACACACACACACACACAACACACACACACAA